TGGATATCTTGTTAGGTATGTACTACCTCTCCGATGCACAACCCCAGTTTGACTGGGACCGAAAAGTGGTCAAACACACTTTGCCAGGTGGGGGGACCGCCAGATTACGTAAGTTCAAAGCTAGTAGTCCTACGGATGCATGTGTGTGGTCGCGTTCTATAACTATTATAAGCAAAATCCGGAGGAGGGTATGTATCTAGTCTATGTCTCTGCAGCAGGCGAGCCGGTGAAAATGTCGTCGAAGAGAGAGGGAGTAGTTGCTAAATACCCTGATCTATTTGAAGAGCCGACAGGGGTTGTCGAGAGGGAGGTCGTCAAACACACTTTGCCAAGTGGGGGGACCGCCAGATTACGTAAGTTCAAAGCTAGTAGTCTGATTGAGTCGTACGGATGCATGTGTGTGGTCATGTTCTATAACTATTATAAGCAAAATCCGGAGGAGGGTATGTATCTAGTCTCTGTCTCTGCAGCAGGCGAGCCGGTGAAAATGCCGTCGAAGATAGAGGGAGTAGTTGCTAAATACCCTGATCTATTTGAAGGGCCGACAGGGGTTGTCGAGAGGGAGGTCGTCCATGCAATAGAGATTATCCCGGGGTCTAGCATCCCGAAGGGTAGGATCTATCGGATGTCTCCAGGCGAGCTTGACGAGCTTCGCCGGAAGCTCAAGGAACTCATAGAGAAGGGTTGGATCCGGCCGAGTGTCTCCCCTTACGGATCGCCAGTTTTATTTGTGCCAAAGAAGGGGGGTACGCTGAGGATGTGCATTGACTATAGGGGCCTCAATGCCATTACTGTCAAGAATCGAGAGCCCCTACCGCGCATCGACGATTTGCTAGATAGAGTGCAAGGGTGTCCGTACTTCAGTAAGATAGATCTGAAGTCCGGGTACCATCATATTGCAATCTGGCCCGAGGATCAGCACAAAAACGCTTTCCAGACCAGATACGGTCTGTACGAGTTTGTGGTGATGCCTTTCGGCCTTTGCAATGCTCCTGTCACCTTTCAGCACGCTATGAATCGGATCTTTCATGACTACTTGAATAAGTTTGTCATCGTGTACCTCGATGACATACTTATTTTTAGTAGGACTGTCGAGGAGCACGTTGCGCACTTAGATAAAGTCCTCGGTCTCCTTCGGCAGCACAAGTTCAAGATCAATGGGGAGAAATGCGAGTTTGGTCGCACCCGGATCTTGTACTTGGGTCATGAGATTTCCGCGGAGGGTTTGGAACCCGATGACGCGAAGGTGGCCAGCATTCGTGACTGGCCGCGTCCTCAGTCTGTGACTGAGATGAGGTCTTTCTTAGAGATGACCGGCTACTATCGCAATTTTGTGAAGAACTATAGCATAGTGGCCGCCCCTTTGACTGACCTGACTCGCCTTGACACCCCATGGGAGTGGACAAACAGGTGCGAGGCTGCTTTCAGACATTTGAAGCATGTGTTGACGCATCATGAGGTTTTGAAACTTCCTGATCCTGACAAGTCGTTCATAGTAACTATGGATGCCAGCCAATATGGCATTGGCGCCATACTTGCGCAGCAGGAGGGGCCAAAGTTGAGGCCAAGGGAGTACATGTCCAAAAAGATGTCGTCTCAAAAGTTGGCTAAGTCCACCTATGAGAAGGAGCTGTACACGATCTATAAAGCGCTAACCCATTGGAGGCACTATCTTCTTGGGAGGTTCTTCATCGTCAGGACTACATGTCCAAAAAGATGTTGTCTCAGAAGTTGGCTAAGTCCACCTATAAGAAGGAGCTGTACACGATCTATAAAGCGCTAACCCATTGGAGGCACTATCTCCTTGGGAGGTTCTTCATCGTCAGGACTGATCATCAGACCTTGAAGTGGATGAGAACTCAGCCTGTGCTTTCCGATGCGCTGAAACGCTGGATCGAAGTCATTGAGCAGTACGACTTCGAGCCCCAGTACCTCAAAGGTGAGTACAACAAAGTTGCTGATGCGCTGTCACGTAGGCAAGACTTCTCCGGTGCACTGATCACTGAGTTTGGGCTTGCGGGCGATGTCACTCGCTCTTTGGTGGAAGCCTATCGCGAGGACCAGTTCATGTCCGAGATCATACGCAGACTCGAGGCGAAGGACAAGGTGACTTTTGCAGAGTTTGAGTTGGTCAACGACTTGTTGTTCCTTGAGAAGGCCGGGAATAAACGTTTGTGTGTGCCTAATCGGGAGTCTTTGCTCAGTTTATTTTTAGGAGAGTGTCATGATGCCATAGGGCATTTTGGATATAAGTAGACTGCAGCCAATCTGCTGCAGCAGTTCTGGTGGCCCACGATGATGAGAGATGCCAAGCTGTACGTGGAGACTTGTCAGGTCTGTCAGAGAGAGAAGTCACGTACACAGGCCCCTCTTGGGCTTCTCAAGCCCCTTCCGATTCCGGAAAGGCCCGGTGAGAGCCTGTCCATGGACTTCATGGACACGCTGGTTACCAGCAAGAGTGGAATGAGACACATCTTCGTTATCGTGGATAGGTTTAGTAAGTACGCTAGGTTAGTTGCGATGCCAGAGACAGTGCAGACCGAGTACGTCATTAGGCTGTTTAAGGAGAACTGGGTCAGAGATTTTGGCTCGCCAAAGTCTATTGTGAGCGACCGGGATGTTAGATGCATGAGTGAGCTGTGGAAGGCCGCAGCTGCAGAACAAGAAACGCAGCTGCAGATGACATCTGGAAACCATCCAGAGGCAAACGGGCAAGCAGAGCAGTTAAACCGCGCTGTACAACACCTGTTGCGGCACTACATCAAGCCCAATCAGGTGGACTGGGATGAGAAACTTGCTCTCATCGCCAGCCTGTACAACAACGTTGTGCACAGCGCCACTGGGGTGAGCCCTAGCAGTTTGCTGCTGACTTTCAAACCTAGACTGCCCTTAGACTTTCTACTGAACCAGCCAACTGCTGCACCTGGCACACTAGAATTTGCTTATCGATATGAACAACTGATGCAGCAGGCGGTCGAACAGATGCACAAGGCACAGGCGGCGATGATAGAATCAGAAAACAAGCACCGCCGCCCATCAACATTCCTGATAGGGGACAGGGTCTGGGTTAAGTCTTCAGAACTGGGACAGGAGCACGGGATCTCCCGCAAGCTCATGCCACAGTATTGTGGGCCCTGGGAGGCTCTGGATATATTCGGAGATGACCCGGATGGTCCATCATATGTAGTTCAGATCCCTGGTCACCTTCGTACTTACCCTGTCTTTCACGCCTCCAAGCTTGCACATATATTGACTACAAAAATTCAATGTTTTATAAGTCATAAGAGTGATCAAAAAAGATCATACCATGTATGTTTAATATATAATATATATTTCTATTAATATATATAATATATTTCTATTAATATTGTCTATTGTTGTATAATTATTACTTATTCTTTTACATATTTTGGTTAGATTCCAATATCTTTGATTTATATAAATAAAATCAATATAATAATAACAATAAAGAATTACCCTGTCTTTCACGCCTCCAAGCTTACACCATTCAAGGAAACTGACCAGTTTCCCTCGCGACGCTCAATGCTGCCCCCAACCATGGATGGAGAGGTCGACATCGATGACATCATGGACCACAGGGAAATGCCGGTTCCAAGACCTTCAGGCAGGGACGTCCTCCGAAGCCGAAGCTGCAATACCGCGTTCGGTTCAGGCACCATACTAATCCAAAGGAGGATAGATGGTTCACTCGGGAGGAACTAATGCAGACCGCTCCACTGGTTGTCGCCCACTACGAGAAGTTGTTGCAGAAAGGAAAGTGCCAGATTGAATGAACTTCTCAGAGGACTAGCGAAGTATGGAGGAGGGAATGTGAGGCACAAGGTCTTGATAAGCCCTACTGGGCCCCTATTTGCAACAGAGTCGGCCGCCCTAAGTGAAGGCAGGCTCGACAGACGACAAGAGGCTTATTTTGGACTACCTCGCAACTGGGGGGAAATTCAGACAGTTGTGCAGCGCCAGTTGGTTGAAAGCACCCAGGCCCTGGCCTCCTTTATCAAATGCATCTGAGTCAGGCCCTGGGCGAGATACGCAGCATGAACCCAACTCAGGCTGCGGGCAGTTGGGCACGGGTAACTGTCACAGGCCTTGGGTCTGATCCGTTTGGTCTGGGGCTTAGCCTCTCTGGGCCTACCGGAAGCTTCTGGGCAGGGGCCCAGCGCAGCCAGGCTGCACGCAAGGCAGGCAGGCCACTTCCGTTTAGGAAAGGGCCTGCACACGCATTCGGCATTCGGGCACTGCCTGCATGC